TATTCGAGCTTTATACAACACATGATACAAGTAAAATTGTTACAATTTTTTAAAAAGAATAGTATTTTTTAAAAATGTTTTTTCAATATTTTTGTCAAAAACTATTACTGACTTTATAAATTTTAATATGATACGTATGAATCACAACTGTATTTTGATCACAACATTATTTACACTGTGCCTTCAGACACGGGCATACGCTAGTATATATATATTATACAAAAAATAGATTTGAACCTTATAATAAAATTAATAATTAGTTTTTAATTTTATCATTTTAAATTTTAAATTGTTTTATTTATTTTAAATTTCAATCATTTGTCAATTCCTATTAAATAAAATTGATGACAAAAATATATTTTATTCATTAAATTCAATGAAAAATAATATTTTATATACATCTACATTAAATTTAGTGAGATAACCAATTTTAATCAATAAAAGTAGATTGATTATTTATATTCAAAATAAATCAAAATATTATAACTTGATAAAATTAAAATTTCATAATTTATTTTATTTTTATTCGTACCATATTCTACTAATAGATAGTTTGAATAGGCTTAAACTACCCATGAAAGTAGGTTCAATCTCATTTTTTTGTAATTTTCTCCAAAATAAATTATTTATTTTTAAAATTATTTATTTTTTAAAGATAAATATAATAAAATCAAGTAATTGTAGTTATCAAATCAAACTATTTTTTTTTAAATGATCTATACTTGGACCTAAAATATGAATAGATTAAATTATTAAAAAAACTCAATTTGAACCGGTCCCACTAAAAACTCACTTATATTTGCATGCCATCCATAACTGATTTACGAAGGTTTAGATTTATTTATTTATTTTTTTTTTTTTTGAACAAGTAGGAAACTACAAGCAGAGAATTAAAGATGAGTAGGAACATCATGGGAAAGAACATAAGCAAAGTCCTGTGGCACACATGTGACCCGACTAGCAGGAAGTGTTGATCTAGAATGAGCAGTAGCCACCCAGTGAGCAGCAGAATTGTTTGTCCTTCGGGTCCACATGAACTTCCAAGCTCTGTCCCTTGCAAGACTGCGAATATCAGCCACAACTGCCATGATCTCCCATGGAGGGACTGTTTCGGACACACACAGGTGGATGAGTTCTTGGTTGTCATTCTCGATGTCGGCCAAGGAAAGCCCATGCATCTGGGCCAAACGGCATGCTAGACGCACCGCAACAGCTTCAGCTTGCAGGGCTGATGCTGAAAAGAAGGAGGTGACAATCCCATCAATAAACTGGCCCTTAGAATCCCTCATGATAGCTGCTGCGGAAGCTTTGGCCGAAGACCGGTGGAAGGAGGCATCACAATTTACTTTAACATTCCCCACCCGAGGGGGAGTCCATCCAGAGGCAGTGCCGACGGCCATGGGGTTATCAGCCAGTGGTACGATGGTCTCTGCCCCACCCTGTAGAAAATATTCATTCCAACCATGGTGTATTCTTTGGATTGTGTCAGATGGGTTAACAGGCACTGAGTTGAAGATGAAGTCATTGCGAGCCTTCCATATATACCAGCCAATCAAAGCAATTCGGCTTAGAGTTTCCTTTCCAGAATCTGTAAACACCCCGTTTTCCCCCCATGAAGTTGTCCATTACGCTACATTTGTAATAGATCCAGGTTCCAGCCGAAAATTCAACATACTACCAAACCAGATTGCCTTGGTCCATGCACAGTCAAAAAGTAGATGTTCTACTGTTTCCACATCTTTATGGCAGATTGGACATAGATTGGAGGTTGCACACCGACGTCTTGCCAAATTTGCCTTAGTTGCCAAAATATTTTTACAGGATCGCCACCAAAAGTGTCGGATTTTTGGGGGAATTTGCAGGTTCCAAATTTGTTTCCAAAAACCTCGAGGAAGAAGGAAGGAGGATGAAGGTTGCCTTGAGAGATGATTATCCGAAGACTTGCGAGCCAAGTGATACCCAGACTTAACAGAGTATGTTCCCGACTTGGTGTAATGCCAAATGAGAGTATCTGCCTGATCGATAAAAGGCACTGGAATGGACCGAATAGCTTGCAATTCCTCACATGAAACAAGTGTGCGTAGGACCGCAACTTTCCATAGTTTAGATGCAGGGTCTATGGCATCCGAAACTGTGACAATACCACTTCTTGGGGGTTGAAGGGATGAGACCTTAAAATTGGTGAGAGTTGGTATCCAGCGATCATCCCAGAAGCGCACGGACTGCCCATTGTGAATCTGCCAACGACACCCTTTTAAAAGTAACTCCCGGCCTTTCAACAAACTTGACCATGCCCAAGAAGACGAAGGTTTAGATTTGAAAACCATAATAGAAACCAATTACTACCTACTTGACTACCATAACTTTTCTAAGACTCCGTTTGATTATAAATAAACAAAAAATAAAAAATTAAGTGAAAGGAAAAAAAAAAATAAAAAATAAAAAATATTTTCTTACATGCATTTGGATAGATGAAAAATTTTATAAGAAAATAATGGAAAAAACATATAATCACTACATAATAGGGAGTTGTATATAAAAACATAGATAAAAATGAAAACAAAACAAATCGTGTCAAGATTTGGAGAAAAAAAAAAAAAAGTTTGCAAGAAATTGTTAGTCTAACTAATAAGCTAATTTGAGTTACACAGAAAATTTTAATCTCCATTATTATTATTATTATTTCTTTATTTTTCTTTCATTTTTTTGTATTATCTATCTAACAAAACTGAATCTAATGACTTAGTCTCTATGAGAGAGGTCGTGGATTCAACTCTTCTTAAAGGGAGTTGAATTATGGGATAAGCACTTGATCCTTTGCATAGAATGGGAAGACTAACTTCTATAAATACTAATCTAACCAATAATAATTGACTTTCACTAATTAAAAACCGGTAAAAACCATAAAAGTCCGGTTTGACGGTCAACCTTGTTCATTGTCATATTCAATTTACAACATCACACTTAATTGGGAAATTTTTAGCCAAAGAGACTCTCAGTATGTAATTTTATTGAAAGAACAATTCAAAATATTTTGCTCAACCAAATAATTTATGCAGATATCTTTGATTTGTGTTTTTTTTTATTTTTAATTTTATAATTTTGAATGTATGTATAAATTTTTAAAATTCACTTGTCAAAATCTATTAGAAAATGTTATGAAACTCAAATTTTTTATCAAATCTTTCACATGGGTACCAAATCTACACAAACCTACATGTGTGTAGGTCCTATACCTATGTGTGAAATTTTGTAAAAAATTTAATAAATTATTTAAGATCTCTATCATAATTCATCTATTAGCTTGCCTGAGCCCATGGGGTTTATTTTGGCCAGGCTCAAGGATGGGTTAACCTGGACCAGTTCTACGATAAATGGGTTGGTTCTAGACGGAAGAGTGAGACCCAAGACATTGAACCTACCCAAAAGCCCTGACCAATTTTTTGTTTTTTTTTTTTTTTTTTTTTGACGCATAACCCATGTATGGATCCATCAGGGCCGGCCCTGACTTTCCGGAGCCTAATTCCTAAAGCGAATTCATTTTTCGAGACATTTTTAGATATTTATAAAAAATAAAAATAAAAATCATTTTGTTTGGTTTAAAGTTTTCAAAAATAATTATCTGAGTTTACAATTCGTATTTTTTTTTTTATATTTTTGTATTTGGAAACATTTTTTTAAAAAAAAATATAAATATTATAGTTTTTAAGCGTATCTAAATTAGATGTATCTACAAAATAAATAAACAAAAATTGTGTAAAATATTTTTTTAAAAAAAAATTCTAAAAAAAAATAATTGTGCCACAAAGAGAGAAAAAAAATAGGTCACACAAAATTAGGCTAACGACTAATACATATACATATATTTTATATTTTATTTTTTTAACTGGACTAACAACTAAAACTTATAATTATTTTTTAATTGGGCCAAATAGATTTTTTGGGGCTCCTTTAACATAACCTCAATTAATTAAATAGAGTTGGGCCATTTTAAATTTTTAATATAGTTCAAGACTAAATTTGAAGACTTTTTTTGGGCCTAATTTTTTGAGACTATCCATATGAAACTCTTGTATTAAACCCAAATATAAATAATGGATAGTTTCTTCTTTTTTGTTTTATTTTATTATTTTCGTAAATTCTTTTTGTGTACATATGTATTTTTGGCCAGATTAAATAAAATAAAATAAAAAACGTAACAATAACTATACTTTTCATGATACAAAAAATTTATACAATTTAATAACATAATAAATTGATCGATGTAATATTGTATTTAACAAATAATTTTTATTTTATTTTTCATAAATTTATAATTAATTTTGAATTGAATACAACAACTCAAATTAAAGCCCCGTGTTAGCGCCAAATTAGGCCCACATGGAGGGACTGATTGTGTCAAAAAACATAAAAACAAAAAAACATATGTACACTCATTTGACATATTGATTTGAATTTTTTGAATTCATTTTTAAAACAATTAAATTATTTTATTTTATGTATTTTTATTTTCACTGAATTTTTTTAATATTTAAAAAAAAATTAATTTTTAATACACTTAATATAAATACACTTAAAAAGTATAATATTTGTAAATAAAATCTTTAAAAAATTCACTAAATACCAAAAATATAAAATATATATATATATATATATATAAATTCAATACATTTTAAATATTTTTGAATATTAATTAGTTTTTAAATATTTTTTTATAAATATTTTACTTTTTAAATACATCTAAATAAAGTTCATCAAAGAAAGTAAAAAAATTGCTTGAAATTTTAAAAATATTCACTAAAAACAAAAAAATACCAAAAATAAAAAACTCAATTTCAAATTGAAACCAAACACTAAGCATCCAATCCAAATGATATTTACTATGACATGAAACTGATTTTCAACCCTGAAAAATAAGAGTGCACACACTTTCCATGCAATACCAAAACAGCCACATTATTATTTTAAAAATAAAAATAAAAATAAATAAAATACAACCCTGCCACCAAGAAGGAATGATTTTATTACTACAGCAAACAACCAATACAGAATTGTAATCAGACATTAAAAATAAAAATAAAAATGACTTTCCAAAATATATCACTTTCATCACAATTCCATAAAAGAAAGGCATCCAAGAGGCCATTACCAAGATCCCTCAATGTAAGAATCAGAAAATATCATACCTCAACATTCAATCGAACATACTAAAAGCAAGGAAGCAAATAAACATTTCCAACAACAAAACAAAAAGAGGAAGAAAAAGAAAGAGGAAAGAAGAAGACATCCAAGGTGGTGTAAAAAATAGCTGAAGAATAATTGTTAAAATTAATCAATCATTATGTTTCAAACTAAGCTTCACATATGTGGGAAGATTATCGGTCAAGCTACCAAGTACACGGTTTAGGATTTCCCTACCAACAATGATAACTTCAGAAGGGCAAGTACTGAAAATATTGCCCTCCAAATTACCCTCCACTACGCTGATTCACTGCATATACAAACACAAATTAATTCAAAATGAATTAATATCGGTATGATAAATCAAAATAGTGACTCTACTCGAGTCACGTCTGCATTAAAAGCAAGAGGACACGACACAATCAAGATTCAAGACCCATATGTCCATAAAATACACAGGCAACATGCACTGACACAAGTACTTCATACTGGAGTCAGTGTATGCTGCAATTGAAGAAACATTATAAAACAAAAACTGCTACGTGAGTTGAACAAAAGCACAGACACTCACATATTTAAAAACCGAAAAGGAGAGCCCCAGAATCTATATCCAGGTTAGACGGTAATGACAGTTTGCAGGCATGGTTTATTTTCCCAGTAGATTGTCAATGCGAGTTAGTTCTGCAGTTCCTGCCTCCTAATGGCCCTTGTGCAAAAACAGTAAAAAAGGTTCCTGCTACCAATCATAGTTTGTCCTCATCCCATCATAACTAAAGTTGCCAAACCTTGATACTGAATATCTCTGCTGATAAAAATTGGAGTATCCATTTGAAGCTGAAGTTCCAAAATGAAGAGTCTTTCTGGAAGAATGAGAACTTGAAGCATGACCACCTTGTATCGAAGAATAAGTTGTATTCCTATTATTAGTCGGTGTCACTGGAGATCCCCATCCATGCACTTTGGGTTTTCCATGAGGTAAGTCTCCAAGATCTTCCGTAATCCAACCACCCCTCCTCTTTGAGCTGGACGGGGTGGTAAATCCTCCTTCATATTGAATTTTTTTCTTTTTACGAGCCTTGCCACTATCAGAAGGCACAGACCTTAGTCCCACATAGTCTCCATTTTCTTTGGAAAATTTATGAGTGCTGGTTGATGATTCAAGATTCCTCTTACGAACCTACCGAAGTCAACAAAAATGAACCGCCAAATCATTAAGAGGACCATAAAACATCCAAAATCAAGGGGAGGGGGGAGCAGAGCAGCAAAGAACAGAATATGATTGTGATAAAACATCAAAATTCAGAGATCATACAAGGACATAAACAACTAGGACTCTGGAATCTTGTGAGGCCTGCTGAGAACTTGAAATGTACCTTAGTTGAATTAGAGCATTCCCGTGCAAAATGTCCACCTTCGCCACACTTGAAGCACAAACTAAGTGACCCCACACTAGTTGTCTCACCACGTGACCTAGTGCATTCCTGAATATATGTATATGTACTCCCATGTAAGCACAGTTGTTTTCTTAAAAATAAGTAGTACTAAATACTGCAAAGATTCAAGTTCTAAATTGACTGACGCGGAGTAGATCCCTACTTACTAAAGAAGGTCTATGGACATAAAAATATTGATGCCAATGAAAAATTATGAAAATCTGATACCAACTTCAGGATATTCATATACACAAACAAAACTCAAGGAAATTGAAAAAAGAGCAGACGACACCTATTCCATATATGTGTCACACAACACAAGTCATAACAACTGCACAAACTAAACCCTATTCAGATGTTTCTAGAATCTAACAATAAATTTAAGTAACAGCAAATCATGAAATGAGAAGAAATAGGATATGATGCTCAGTAAAACAATATAAATATATATATATATATAAACAAAAAAACAAATATGGTGCAGCAAGCACGCAACATGCACAACTATCACATGCCTCTATAAACCTATGGCACCTCATCCAAACGGAGAACATAATCAATTATCTTGAGCACAAAGCTAAATAAATGGTTTATCTCAAAACAGTCCCGATCCCCAATTTCCACATAAATTGGGCCTGCTTAATGGGCAAATTTTGCTATAGCAGAGACTGAATTAGAGAAGGAATGCGATGAAGTGGTACAAGACCTGACTCTCACATAGTCTCTTACAACCTTGAAATTGAATAACAATAAACCTCCAAATTGTTAGGAGGACCATTGAAAATCCCAAAACAGGGGGAGGGGAGGAGCACCAATAAAGAACGGAAGATGATTGTGATAGATCACACATCAAAATTCAGAGGCCACGTGTGGTCATAACACAATAGGATTCTGATATTATGCAAGACCACCGGCAAAAAGCCAGAAATGTACCTCAATTGAATTTGTGCATTCTCGTGCAAAGTGTCCTTCTTGGCCACACTTGAAGCATGAACGAAGTGACCCCACACTAGTTGTCTCACCAAATGACCTTGCGCATTCCTGAATATATGTACTCCCATTTAAACACAGTTTTATTCTTAGGAATAAGCTAGTAATACTAAAGAGACAAGGTGACCTGCGCAAAGCCTGAAATGTACCTTAGTTGAATTTGTGCATTTTCGTGCAAAATGTCCTTCTTTGCCACACCTGAAGCATGAAACAAGTGACCCCACACTAGTTGTCCCGCCAAGTGACTTTGGGACATAGTTCCTGCATATATGTACTCCCATTTAAACAATGGAATGAGCAAGTAATACTAAAGACTACAAAGCTCTTCTAAACAAATAAAAATAAAGACAAGGACACCTGCAGAAAGCCAGAAATGTACCTTGGTAGAAACTGTGCATTCTCGTGCAAAATGTCCTTCTTTGCCACACTTAAAGCATGCACCAAGTGACCCCACAATACTTGTCTCATCAAGTGACCTTGCGCACTCCTGCATATATGTACTCCAATTTAAACAAAGTTTTCTTCCAAGTATTGAGCAAGTAATACTAAAGACTAAAAGCTCTTCTAAACAAATAAAAATAAAGACAAGGACACCTGCAGAAAGCATGAAATGTACCTTAGTTGAATTTGTGCATTCTCGTGCAAAATGTCCTTCTTTGCCACACTTGAAGCATGAACTAAGTGACCCAACACTAGTTGTCTCGACATGTGACCCCGTGCATTATTCCTGCATAAATGTACTCCCATTTAAACAAAGTTTTCTTCTTAGGAATGAGCAAGTAGTACTAAACAAATAAAAATAAAGACAAGGCCACCTGCAGAAAGCCTGAAATATACCTTAGTTGAATTTGTGCATTCTCGTGCAAAATGCCCTCCTTCGCCGCACTTAAAGCATGCACCAAGTGACCCCACAATACTTGTCTCATCACGTGACCTTGCGCACTCCTACATATATGTACTCCAATTTAAACAAAGTTTTCTTCCAAGTAATGAGCAAGTAATACTAAAGACTAAAAGCTCTTCTGAACAAATAATAAAAAAGACAAGGACACCTGCAGAAAGCATGGAATGTACCTTAGTTGAATTTGTGCATTCTCGTGCAAAATGTCCTTCTTTGCCACACTCGAAGCATGAACTAAGTGACCCAACACTAGTTGTCTCGACATGTGACCCTGTGCATTTTTAGGTGTAAATAAGAGGAAAGCATTAACAACCTATGAACTATGCATGCCGTTAAAGACTGTTTACTGATCAAGAAAAAACCATGAAAACTTCATTTCTAAAGCATATTCATCAAACCCACAACACACATTATTCAAAACCCCCAAGTTTCTAATTCCAAATGATGTTCAGACTAATTCCAACTCAAAATTTCACACACCCTCCACAACAGCATAGATGCACTTCAATTTAAACATAGTTTTCTTATTTGGAATAAGCAAGTAGTTCTAAGAATTGCCAAGCACCTGCAGACAACTAAAAATAAAGACTATAAAGTCAAATGCTAAATTGACTGCCGTGTAGATCCCTTACTAAAAGAAAGGTCTATAATATTGATACAATTGAAAATTTAAGAAAATCTGAAACCAACTTCAGGATATTCATAACAATGTTGACACACGAAAAAAACTCAAGAAGAGAAATATCTGACATATATTCCAGTATAGCGCAGATGTCGTAAGTTCGTAACAATATCATAAAAAGGAAAAATTAAAAACAAAACAAAACAAAACAAAACAAAACAAAACAAAACAAAACTCTGTTCTTTCTAAATCCGTAACAAATTTAACAGGAGATCATAAAATGAATTGCTCAGTAATATAATAATATCTATTATACATATAAAGACAAACACAAAGATTGTACAGCATGCAAACATGCACAAATGCACATGCATCTACAAATCCATACCACCTCATCCAAGCCGAGCACAAAATCAATTATTTTGAGCACAAATCTAAATAAATAATTCAACTCAAAAAATCTCAATCTCCAATTTTCCAGCAAATTTGACCTCCTCAAACTTCTACATGGTGGAGACTGAATAACATAATGGATGAGTTCAAATGGTATGGTAGTGAGAAAAACAGGGTGCCAGCCAAAGAAAGGAGAATCAACAAAATCGCATTCCACTTTTTTTTCCCGTTAAAATTAGTTTATGTCCTCAACTTTCAAAATGTTGTAAACAGTACAATGAGAATATATCCTATACCAGCAAATAAGAAGCCATTGAATAAACTCACCAAACCTGTATGGCCCAACTGACCACATCTGTAACAAGAAAGTTCTCTTGGACCATTATTGGTAAAATCGACACAACAAAGATGGCCAAGATTCTTGCAAATGTAGCATTGTATATCCTGATTACGTTCAAAAGAGGGGTTCAAAAAAAGGTTAAAACAATTAATATACAACAAGAATTTCAGATAGTATGGATCCAAACAAAACAATAAAACTTCTTGCAAGATAAATTAATATATAGAATTATATTTGAATGGACACAGGTATATGTAAATTTTACATATAAACATATGAAAGAATATAAATTAAATACCTCCAAATCATTAGGCGAATAATCATTTTTGCATGAAAACATATCATGACTAGAGTCCCCACATTTTAAGCATATCTTTGAATTCTGAGATCCCCTTTTGTATTTTTCTGGACAATCTTTTGCACGGTGGCTACCTTTTCTGCAGATGAAGCAATCTTGTCCCTGAACACAAGAAATAATATACACATGTAGATTTAAGCCTAATAAAATTATATTAATGCTCCCAAATCGATAAATAGAATTCATCACAATCTCTACAAAGCCCAAATTTTTGCACTTCAACCATGGAAAAACTATGAAGGATATCAGCATAGGAGGAGAAAAGCAAGAAAAAAGAAAACAGGTCAATGTACTCATATAATGAGCAGATAGATTCACTGCAATTTTGTCATGTGAGAAATGAAAAAATTTCAAGAAGATTTTGGACAATCTTCTAGACCTTCAAAGCAAGTGTTTGATTGGTCTTAACTAGCTTGCACCAAACACAGAGCAAAATCCCTTCATTCATATTTTCTGGAAAAAGGAGGATATTGCTGCTTGGGAGGTTTTCCAGCTAACCACTCAGAAAGCACACCTTCTGGGTTTTATAGGCTTGCAGTTAGTAACCAAGCAGGAATTATATTAAAAATTCTATCTAGTTGAACACTTTTAAGAGCTTAAAGAACTTGTAGTTTTATGGTACAATGGAAAAGGCAAACGGATCAGAAAAAATTAGCAGAATTCAAGCCAAAAACAAGGTCAATAGTTTATGGTTCATGAGGAAACTCTGGGCAAAGAGATTAAAAAAAAAAGAGGTTAATGTAGAGAAAATAGCCACAAAGAAAAGAGTCTCTTATTGCACATAATTTTATTAATATATATATATATATATATTTTTTGATAATTAAATTTTATTACCACAACATCTAGAAGATGCTAAACAAATTCAATAAACCCCGCAAAACGAAACGGGAACCTAACCAACTAAATCATCAACAAAATCTAAGAAAACAAATACATCTAGATTCACCTTTCCCGACACCTAGCTGTACAAAACACCCAAAAATCGAGACTCAAAACATGTAATGAATTGAGCACTGCCTTGAAAAACCCGACGACTCCACTCCAGCCAAAGCAACCACATCAAGCACAAAGGAGCCAAAGCCTAAGCCTTCCGCCGCCGCCGCTTCCCAATGCGGCCACCCCCCAACAACGAAGAACCTCCTTGACCTGCTTCGGCTGAACGCCACACCACTCCAAACAAAGAGAAAACAAGCACCCACAAATGAGACGCAAACGGACAGTGAATCAGCAAATGGTCCACTGTTTTCGCATCCGCACAACACAAGCAACACCAATTAACCAAAATATGATGCCGACGGATCAGATTGTCAATAGTCAAGATCCTACCAAAAGCTGTTGTCCACGCAAATAACGCCACTTTCGATGGAACACCAAGAACAAACACAGAACGCCAGGGAAAACCCCCCCTTGATCACCACACAAAGACCAATAAAAAGAAGACTGAAAAAACACCTTTAGCCCCTGGAACTCCCCAAACCAACACATCCTTCCTTTCCCGCCCAACCTGGACCCCATATAAGAAGGCCAACAAATCCACCAATGGGTACCCAAGTAAAGGGGTGCCTAGCAACCGAGTGAGGGGATTGGAATGAAAGAAGAGGGGAGTAAAGTGGTTGTGTTTTGCATTTAATGTTTGTCTCTGTCACCTTTTCTTATGTTAGGTATAATGAATTGTAGAAAATAAATATGACGAAAACCAAAAGGCATAGTCAAGTTAGAATGAAGAAGAAAAATCATGCTGGCATGAGAGCATCCCCACCAAAGCCCTAAACCCCCTTCTTACCTATTTTAAGGGACAAATGGCTCCCTATTCACCTGCATCAGATCCCCTAAATGATCCTTTAAATTAGTTTTTGCTACAGTGACTCCCTATTTCTAGGGAGTCACTATAGCTTCCTTATATATATATATATATATATTTTGCTTTGCTTTGCTTTGTTTAGGGACTGCAGCACACATTTATGATTTTTATTTTTTTTAAATTTATAATAAAAAATTATATTTTAATAAAATAAAGAAAAAATAGAGAGTTTGCTAATAGAATAGAGAAAGAATAGGGAGTCTGTTAGGGGAAGTAAATGAAAAAGTGATTCCTAAAATAGGAAATGAATTTTTTAATAATATTTTAGGGTAAAATTTAGGTAAACTGGTGGGGATGCTCTGAGGTCACTTTTTGGGATGCAGCACGATTGATAGGAAAAGTGCTTGGTCTACCTTTGAGGGTTGACCAATCTGAGTTGCCAAATAAAATGCACATTTCTTATTTTTGGGATTGTGGCAGCCAATCTGGAAAGTGCAAAAGGCATAATTTCTAAATCACTCAACCGTCTCATGTGTATATATAATATATATGTGTATGAGAGGGTATATGAAGTGTGATGTAACAACTCAATCTGAATTGTAGAAAATGGTCGTGTGAGGCAGTGTGTTATGCAGTGACAAAGAAGTGCAAGACTGCAAGCATGTAACAGTGAGAGCAGTGTGAGAAAGAATACCAAGAGGGTTTCAGTTATTTGTCTTGCTATTCGTAATCTGTATTATTAGTGGCTTGTTCTGTATCGTCCGTGGACATAGGCAAATTTTTGCCAAACCAAATAAATTTGTGTTCTTCTCTTTTGTGTGTATTTAATTTATATTGCATCCATATTTATGGGTGGATTTTATCCCCATCAACTGTACAGTGTGAGAGAAGGGGAAAAACAGAGCAACAAACAGATGTTTCAAAGTCAATTTGCTTTTCCCACAGTAAAAGCCAAAAAAGAGATCAGAAACCATCACACTATTCAACCAAGTCATCTTAGTGAACAAAAATACCATCCCAATCAAATAACCAACTTTGACAAAACTTAATTCAATTCGAACCAAAATCAGTACACGAGAAAGAGAGTGTTTATTAAATAAATAAATTACATTTCCATTCTATTTTTTCTTCCACTAACCTTTGTGCACTGCTTGGCATGGTGCTCCAAACTCCCACAAACATAGCACGGCCTCTTCCGCTTAACTGAGGTACAATTCACAGCTGCATGACCTTCACCATCACAATTATAGCATTTTGCCCAACCATTGTCTGGAGGATCAAAATACCTTGGCCCTCGCTAATAGAACATCAATAACAGAGGTACCAATCTAAGTATTGGAATGAAATAGTGTTTTACAAAGTGACATTAAACATAATATATCAACTCACAAGTAGCTTCCGTAGCACAATGTTATCAGATATCTTGACTTGATTTGGCTCCACAGGTACATTAATTTCTAGAGCATTGCTTGTCTTGGCCTTCTCTTCTTCCATTGCAACCACAACCTAAATTCAAGGGAGGGGGCGAAACACAAAAGCCATTACAAGAAATCATAAGCACAAGTCCTCATTAAACAAAATTCATAATGATAAAAAGTTCACAACTTTTAGGCCAAACTGAAACAAACATTAAATAAATATACAATATTTCCCAACACGATTCAATTCGTATTTCCCACTTGAAAGAAAACATATTATGCTGGGTTTAGTCAATTAAAGGAATAGAATGAAGTTTTTTTAATTTCTCTTATTTTCCCTTGCTTGGTCCGTAAAATATTTATATATTTTCTAAATGGCCAGTATCATATGAGGATAAATTTTGAAAGAAAGTAATTCCAAGCAACAAATTAAGCACAAGACACAAACACCCACATAAGGTATTTTACTACCTTTACTTTCTCCCCACTTCCTTTCCCAACCAAAAGGCGAAAGTAACTAACTTATTTTCTCATCCATTTCCATCTTTTTCTTCTCTCTTCTCTTCTCCACATTTCGCCTACCATACCAAAAGAAAATGTTTCTGGAAACTGTCTTCTAGCAATTTTTTCCTAATCTAATTTTACAAAAAAAAATAAAAAATAAAAAAAAAAAGTGTGAATGGCTATACTATTTTATCAATACAGAGAATAATTACTACACTGAAAATGTGAACAGAAACAATCCAACAATAACTATTACGCATAGTTAAGTTGAGCAATTCACTGCTAAAGCAAAACATGAGAACATATAAAGCTGGAATTTTTCAGTTTCTTCTGGTTTCCTCTGTTTTCCCAGCAACCTAACAGAACTTTAAATTTGAGGATGAACACACAAAACATTGATGATACCATAAATTATTCAATTTAACAATTCAATTCAAAGTCCTTACAGTTTCATCTTCCTTTTCCACCTTCTTGTTCTTCCTCTTCTTCACTTTCCTACTATTCTTCTTACTCTTCACATCGGCCATGAGTTCAGCTTCTTGCGACGGCGACGAAGAGAGATCAATCGCGTTGGAATTCACAGCAGCGCCATTGCTCTTCGGTTCATCCGCAACGCCGTCGCTTTGTCTGCCGGAGTTACACGCTCGTAGCATCGATTTCTCGACGATTTTCGAGCTCAGATCGACGGTGGCCTCCTCGTCGTCGGCCTCCTCGTCGTCGCTGCAAATGGTAATTACGATTGGAGAAACTGCTGGCTTCGCTAGTAGCTCTTCGTTTTCTTCTTCTTCGATTTGATACCTTGACGATTGTAGATTCTTATCACTGTTGACCATTTTTTTCATAGAGGGAGACGCTCAATTTGGTATTGGAATTGTGCGATGGGGACTAGTAATAGAAAACCGTCTAGGGCTTCTGTGCTGTGTATAATGGGATGTGTTCGAAAACGGGTAAGATAAGTTTTCCGGCGATTATTTATTTATTTTTGGTCATTTTGCTGTAACCTTTCAATTATTTATTCTGCATTTTGAATGAGTAAATGGGTGATAAATCTAATCTAATGAGATTATAAGCTATTATGTTTAGTATATAGTTTTATGTGAAATTGGCCTAACGTCTCTCTCCAATTTTTAATAGGAGGAGGTATACAATAATATGTTATGATGGTTAAGGTCCCTTAACTTTATTTTATGTTATAAAATACCTAATTTACCCTTGTTATAACACAAGATTGTTTGGATTTTGGCAAACTGCTGACTTCATGTGAGATTTTGGAAACTGATTTCACGGTAGAGATTTTGTCAGAGATTTCGGAAGTGTTGCAGTGGACTTCACGATAGAGATTACGACGATCGTGTAGGTGTTATAGTATGTTGATTGCGTAGGTTTTTCAGTGGAATTGAATCACGTATGGTTTTGATAGAAATTCCACATGAATTTTTTATTTTGGTTTTGAATTTTATGTAATGATTCTGATTTCATATTAGTTTTTCAAGTGTATTTTTGCATTAGGTTTTTATTTTCAATTTTGATCAATTTAAAAGAGAGGCTAGCTCAGTGAAGTTGTTTATGATTTTTGGAGCTGATTTTTGATTTGCTGTTATTGATCAGTTTTAGACAGAGACCAGCTTGATAGAGTTGGTTTTTATTTTTGGAATTAATTTTTCATTATCTGTTTAATTTCAAAGAGTGTTGACAGTGTGGTTGATTTTGATGTTTAGAGTTCATTTTTCATGCTCTGTTTTTCATCAACATGCTGATCAAAGTTCATTTTTCGTACTCTGTTTTTCATCAATATGCTAATCAATGATAAGTTTTGTTCTCTATTTTTTCAAGCCAGAGAAATTTGTTTAAACCAGAGAAATTTCATTCTCTGCACTTTTGTTGGTATAGTCCAGAGAAAATTGTAAGTTTGTTATTATAATCCAACAAAAATGACAGAGAAAATTATAAGTTCATATGGACATATTATTAGTTTCTAGTGCAGATAGAATCTAAGAAAGTGAATGTAAGTTCTTAAATTTTTCTAGACTTTTATTTGTAGTTGAGAGAAAATTATAAGTTTGTTATTCACTTTCAGTTTGTAGTTCAGAGAAAATTATAAGTTTGTAGAAAATGAATATAAGTTTTTGTTTCTCTGAGCAAAAGTTATTTTTTGTGTTTTTTTTTTTTTCAGTTTAGATGGGCAGTGCACTGTTTTTAGGGAATCTTGAAGGTGTATATGAGTTGTAAATTTTTCTGGATTTTGATATGAGTGTAATATTGCAGAATGACGCAAAGAAAATTGTAAGCTTGTACTTCAGTGAAAATCACATATTATAATTTTATAACAGATTTTTCTGTGTGTTTTTTGTCTATAATTGTGTTTAATAGTTAGTAATAAATTTTTCTGTGATTCTATCTGGATTCATTAATTTTTCTGTGATTTTGTTTTTGTTATCTTGAAGCTGAATATAAGTTTGTAAATGTCTCTGAACTTTATTTGAATCCAGATAAAATTATAAGCTTGTTATTATAATCCAGAGAAAATTATAATTATTAGAAATTTCGCTGGATTTTTATGCTGTTGTTGTGAAGTGTTTTTATGTTGAACAAATTATTTTTCTTGTTTTTTCTTTCAGTTTTGATGGACAGTGCAGTGTTGTTGCTGTGCAAATATGGGAACGATACTATTGTCATTAATGTTTCATGCGAATTGAATTTTGAGGAATTAGTTGGCATTTTGTGTAAAACATGGGAGAATTTGCAACCTGAGACGATGTGTATTTCATACTCTATTGTGAGCCATCCGAATTGTATAGTTCAAAATGATATTGATTTTCTGAATATGTTGAGGGTTGTTTGTGCCCGTGGTGTTGATATAGTTGATGTTTCAGTTACTAGATGTAGAACTTCTGATCAAGAGAATGAAGTGGGGTCTAATTGGGTAGATGTTGTGGATGGTGAATGTGATAGGCTGGTGGATATTGAAAGGAATTCACTCTCTAAGTTTTGTTCTCACTAAAAAAATGTGTTATTTTTAGTTGGTTGGCGAAATAATATTACGAGTGTTGGACAAAAGTTTGAGGGTGGTGTGGTTGAGTTCTGTACTGTTTTATGCAAGTATGCTATTGAGGTTGGCTTTCGGTTTACATATGTTAAAAATGACAAGTTGAGGGTTACGGCAGATTGTGCATATAAGGAATCAAGGGGATGTATGTAGCGTGTACATGCTTCAGTTGAAAAAATAAATGGGTTCTTTTACATAAGAACTTTGAACAATGAACATACGTGTGGTGTGGCGGTTTGTACTAGTAAACATGCTAAGATGACATCCAGCTTAGTTTCTGGGCTGATACTTGAAGAGGTAAGTGCAAAACCTTTAACTCGTCCAGTGGATGTTGTTAAATAAATGAAAGACAAGTATGGGGTCTCAATCAGTTATAACTGTGGTTGGTTGGGGGTTGAAAAAGCAAAACGTAGTACATATGGGGATTCTTGTTTGTCATTCGATCAATTACGGTGGTATTTTGAAGAGGGATTGAAGAGCAATCCAGGTAGTCATTTTGAGTTAGATTTTGAAGATAACAAGCGTTTCAAAATAGTGTTTGTAGTTTTTCATGCATGCATTGCTGGTTTCAAATATTGTCGGTTATTACTTTTTCTTGATGGAACATTTTTGAAAGGACGATACAAAGGAGTTATGCTTGCTGCAACGAGGAAATATGGAAATGAAGGTAATTGTAAATATATCTAATTTTATCTAAGTATGTGAATTTTCTATACATGTAGGAATTGAGTGAATGTGATTTTTCTCTGACACTTTGAATTTTCTCTAGTTTTGGCCACTGTGTGGATTTTCTATGGTTGTGGCCACTGTGAGAATTCTTACTGGATTTTGTTCAGTGTGTGAATTTTCTCTGGATGTTGTCATTGTGTGAATTGTATCTGTAGTTGGTCACTAAGTGAATTTTGTGTGGATGTTGCCAATGTTTGAATTTTATCTGTAGTTGGTCACTAAGTGAATTTTCTCTGGATATTCTGATTGTGTGAATTTTCTCTGTAGTTAGTCACTAAGTCAATTTTCTCTGGATGTTGCCAATGTGTGAATTTTCTCTGGAATTGGGCACTAAGTGAATTTTCTCTAGATGTTGGCAGTGTCAAATTTCTCTGGTTGTTTATTGTTCTAATTTTCTCTGTATGTGTATATCTAATATGATTGTTCCTATTTGTTTTGTAGGTTTTTTTCCTATAGCTTTTGCTGTTGTTGATGCTGAGAATAAAGACAATTGGTGTTGGTTCCTTGAACATTTATGTGGAGTATTGGGATCATAAAGGGTGATAAGTTTCATATCAGATCGACATTGCGGTATTGTGGAAGGAATTGCTAGGTTTTTCCCTAACTGCTTTCATGGATTTTGTCTTGAACATCTAAAGAGAAATTTGAGGGATAAGTTGTCATGTGGAAACACAAATTTGATTAGGGAGACGATTGTGTCCAAGTTTTCAGAATGTGCATATGAGCCAACAAGGGCATCATTTCATTTCAAGTTAAATGAATTACAAAGTGAGGGAGGAGACGTTGTGAGTGTTTTCTTGAGAAGTTTACCGTATGAAAATTGGAGTGATGCATATTTTGAGGGGAAACGTTATGATGAGATGTATTCAAATATTGCTGAGTCATTCAATTCATGGATACGAGAAGCTCGGCACTTGCCAATAACAAATTTGATGGACATGATACGGTTGCAAATCATGAATATGAGGTCTGATAGGAGGCCGCTCTTTAGTAAATGGAATAAAGTTCTCTGTTCTCATATAGATAGTGTATTAGCGAAGTCTTTCTTGGATGAGAGGACATGGAATGTGAGTTTATCATTTGATAATGTCTTTGAAGTGCGTTGTTTTCCTTCAGTTATGGTTGATCTTGGGTTGAGAACTTGTTCATGTTGAAAATGGGAAATAAATGGGTATCCATGTCAATATGTTGTTGCTGCAATTTTTAGTAGTGGAAATAATTTGAATTCATTTGTTGAACCATTTTTTCATGCTGATATGTATCGTCAAGCATACTCGTTTTCAATTGGCCCAGTTCTAACTGTTGAAAAACCTGTGTGTAGCATTGAAGATGCTATGATTTTACCTCTATTGAGGAAGAGACCAGCTGAGAGGCCGAAGAAAAACATAATTGCTTCTACTGGAGAGTTTAAAAGAGTGATTAAGTGTAGTTGTTGTGAGAGTATTGGTCACCATAATAAGAGGACATGCAATGAACCTTTGTTAAATAGTTAAGGATAATACATTTTATTGATTGAATAATACATTTGATGATTACTTTGTGTATTTTGTTTTATGAAATTGAGAGGGTGCTTTATGATCTGGAGTTGGGCCGAGATATCGACCGAGCAGGTTGAAAGCCCAGCAGTGCATTGGGCCGAGATGATCGACTGTTCGCCCAGAGAAGGGCTGCCAGAACTTGGGCCGGGCAGAGTTCGGGCTGTGTGTGCCACCCCGGACCGGACAGAAATTGCTCGGCATGGCAGTGCTCGGTCGGACCAGGATGCTCGGTCCGAGGATGGCCGAAGCCGGATAGGCCGAGTGACCGGCGCCCGGGACGGCGCGGATATCCGAGGAAGTTGTCTGACCGGCAGAAAGGCCGACCCCAGGAGGCACCTTGGGCTAGGCTTTGCCGAGATGCCGCCTAGCCCGGTCCTCCTCAGTCTTGGCCAGTGAAGTGCTAGGGTATGGAGCACGGCATGGCACAACAACGGATAGGGCAGCTCGGCTGCCGAGCTCCAGTTGTGATGACAGGCAGTTGAGGTTAGGTGATAAATGGCATGGTTTATGCTGACAGATGGGATAGCAGAGCCACGTGTCAGGAGATGACTGGGAGTGGATATGGGGCTCAGAAGGTATATAAGCATGTCTGCGCCCCCCATACGCAGGACACGAACATCTCTGTAAGGACTTCTTACACTCAAACACTCTCTCCCTTCTCTCTATCCATC